ATCGGCTGTTTGTCGGCTCAGTGCGGCAGCTATGTAAATTTAAATGAAGCGGCGATTATTTAAATCGCCGCTTCATTTTACTATGTCTGGTAGCCTAATCTACACCCCTCTGGCGACAGAGGCATGTAGTCTAGACGTACCCTTTGTAAACGGAACATGTAGTGAACTGCAGCTCACATGGAACGGGCTACTATAGAATACCATTGCCACGGTTGAACACACTAACGAATTCTACACATTCTCCACTACGTAAGAGGGAGACGTTAAAAATCTGCTTTTCACACTCCCAGCCAGAACCTCATGCTTACCAGGTGCTGTAGTATCACCTGTAATCTGCTGAAGGGCCTCCACCTGAAAGAAGAAAGCCAGGCTCAACAGCCGCTCAAGCGTTCCACAACTGCAAAGGCTCCGAATGAGGCGCGCTGGCCTTGGTAGGGGTGTTTCTAGCGGTGCGGGCTGGCTCGCGCTGGTACGCGCACGCGCACAAGCCGCCTGCCCAGGCGTAGCGCGGGGCCCAGGGGCGCAAGGCTCCCCCTTGGACGCCACACACAGGCCTGTGGTAAATCGCGGCTCTATCACAAGGGGCTTCCACGCGCCGGGCTGCAGGGGGCCCCTGCCGTTGGGTCCGGCCCGTCAGTGACAGCGGGACACCGAGCTAGGGGCAGCCTCTGGCCGCCAGGGACGGGCCCCCCGGACCCGTGGGGGGGGGGAGGGGCGGAGAACGGGCCCGCAGCTGCCGCCCTTTCCCTCTCACGTTACCTGGGGAGCTGCCTCGTCACCGGCCCCATCCCTGCGCGCGGGGAGACAGTGCGGCCGGCCCCTGCGGCGCAGCCGATGCGCGTCACCGCCGCGCGCCCCTGGGCACAAAACAATCGCACCCGGCGGAAGGGCGAGCAAGCGGAAGTGATGTCATACCAGAGCCCAGCACGTGGTGCGTCGCCGTGGTACGCGAGCGGCCGCCTTGGCGCGTGAGCATCCGCTGCCCGCCAGAGGGCGGGGCGGAGTCGGGGAGGGCCGCTCCTCTCTCGCGCTCGTGCATCGCCACGCTCCCGCAGCCCCCAACCCCCCCCTCTCAGAGCCGGCCGGGGCCGCGGGAGCAGTCACCTGGCGCTGCTCCCCCCCGCCGCGTGTCCGCCCCCCCAGTGTTCCCTGCGCTGCTGGTCAGCCCCCGCGCACCTCTCCCTGTGCAGCCCTACACGTCGCCCTGGTCGTTACCGTGACCATATTTTCCGCCCCAAAAATGGGGACCCGTGAGCTGCGGGCCCTACCATAAATCAAACATTAATCCCGCCCCTTGACCTTGTTGACCACGACCTGGACCCTTCAAACCTTGCCCACCTGCCATAGGAAATCCCACCCTCGGGGGAGTACTTCTGGGGTGTACGCAGGGGTGGCCCGTCCATAGAGGTGAACTAGGCGGTCGCCTAGGGCACCAAGTTAAATGGGGCGCTAATCCAGCCCCTTGACCTTGTTGACCACGACCTGGACCCTTCAAACCTTGCCCACCTGCCATAGGGAATCCCACCCTCGGGGGAGTACTTCTGGGGTGTACGCAGGGGTGGCCCGTCCATAGAGGTGAACTAGGCGGTCGCCTAGGGCACCAAGTTAAATGGGGCGCCAAATGGTGGTGCAATATCATTGAGGGGTTTGGAGGTGGGGGTGCTGATTGCATGGTTTGCCTAGGGCGCCAGTTGCTGGCAGCTAGTCTAGGGCTGCCCCTGTGTAGATGGACACATGACTGGAGGTAAAGGGTGTCCTGAGATCCTCTCCTCCCCGCCCCCCCAAGAACTCCTCCCACCACCCTCTACCAGTCTGGACAGATGTGGGCCCTGTAGAAGATGCTGGTGATATGTTGTGTGTGTAGGGGCAGAGTGGGTATGACAGTGAGTAGTGTGTGTATAGATGCTGGTGGTGTAATTGCCATAAAGTAGATTTGAATTTTGATAGTGGTAGTGCCTATAGGCATGGAGTGAATGTACTGGAGGAGCTGTGTGTAGTGGCAGGGTGTGTGGAAGTGGCACTATGGGCAGCATACACATGATAGTGTAGTAAACAGGATGTGTGAGTAGGTTCTGGTAGCAAAACGGTGTGGTGGGGATTGGGTGTGGCTCTGTGGACAGGGCCAAAGGTGGGGTGTGGGGGGTGGAGACAGGGACTGTCATGGGGAGGTGGTGCTGGCTCCTGGCTGCAGGGGTCTCTGTTTCCTACAAGCTAGGCTGGTTCTAGCAGCTTGGAGTAGGGAAGGCCCAGTTCCCATCAGGTGGTCACAGGCGGGAGCTGAGCAATGCAAAGCTAAGTGGGAAAGACACCCTCCTTTTTGTCGCTGTGGACGCGCCGTTGCCTATTAATTCAATTAAAATGGTATTGTTTCATATAGATTTTGGCTGTGATTTCAAATTAACTCAATTTACAAAGTTGAAAAGTATTTTTCCTGACTACCAGTGCTTCCTATTTCAGACCCTAGAATGAGTTATCAAGACAGATGTATTGTCCAAATGTAGGAATGTTTATGTAGCAGACTCATTGGATGACAGTGATTGCAATGGCACATGGTGGTGAAGAAATTTCACTTTTTAATCTCCTGGTCTCTCTTATTGTGTGTTAGAATTGGTAAAATTAAAAAAACAGTGAAGATCCATAAGAATTCTCTTTATTCTTTTAAAATTTATTCCAGTGGATGCTGGAATTTTTGGACTGAATAGTGCTTTGGGCCAGAGCTGAATTCACTGAGAAGCTGAAATCACTAACAGCAGAAATCACTAGGTTTGGCACCGAGCCAAATCTACCACAAGCCAGCGAAAGATGTGACAAGTAACATGAGCAGCAACAGGGCAGCAATGGAGAGGCATGAGGAGCAGCCAGCAGAATAGTGATAGCTAGGGGTGACTGATGGAGAAGTGCAAGAAGCAGCCAGCAGAGCAGCGCCAGAGAGCAGCCAACAGGTAGATGGAGAGCAACCAACAGAGTGGATGAGATGCCTCCTACCTCCCTCTCACTCTGGATAGGAGGTGAACTCTGTGGATGCGCCTGTGAACTCTGGTCTGCCCTGACCAAGGCCAGTGACTGTGAGTGGGGTGCAGAGAAGGGTTGGGTATGTGAAGGGGACATATACATTGCTGGACTTGAGAGCCTGCGAGGAAAAGGCCATTGCCCAACCTGCTTAAGTGGGGATGTTTATTCATGGCTTTGGTTATGAAGTCTGTTTTAGGTGTTTTCCCAAATTAATTCCACGTTACTTCTCTCTTTTCATTAAAGGTTTCTTTTCTACACACAGACTCTGTGCTTCTGAATGGAGAAGCATTGCCTCCCAGAGGCGCCCACGGTGTGGTGTGAATTTCCCAGGTTACTGGGTGAGGGCTTGAGCCAGTTCTGTGCTGGATGGATGGAGAGGAACCCCTAGATATTGAACCTGGCCTTGGCTGCTGCTGGTGCTACCTGGCAGTAGGGTTATAAAGAAACATTGCTGTGATAATTGAGAAAGGAATGTAAGGCTTCATTTGTTTTAAGGCAAAATAACTTTTTCTGGTTAGCTATATTTGTGCCTGTTTTAGTTTAGGGTACTGTAGTACATGCATTAAGTGTTCTGTACATTAAAGGGTGGTTTGTTAACAGTACTACGTAAAGGGAGGGTTTTAAAAGTCTGAATATACATGTTAAATAAATACGTAAATATGGTGTCCCTACTTCGCGGATTTTCAGCTATCGCGGTCGGGTTTGGAACCTATCTACCGCGATAAACGAGGGTTCACTGTAAACTCTTTTTGTTCCTAGATTTGCAGCACTGTTTCTCAAATCTCTGCTTCTATCAAGGCAAGCACTGGTCACTGGTTCAGACCAGTGCAACCATCGGGGCAGCTTTGCAAAGCACACTCTGGGCATTGTGGTTCTAACACACGGAAGAGACTGGGAGATTTTGGGGCTCCGTACTCAGGACATTTTGATCCGGGCCATTAGAGTGGCCTCATGGCTTTCAGCACCTGCCCCAGCCAGGGCCAGGACCCTCCCACCAGGCAGAACAAAGCTTCAGAAAGCAGAAGTGGGAAGTTCCAGGGTTCCTGCCCCCAAAAAACTTCCTCCTCAGCAACACCGCTATCCAGCCTCACTCCCCAGACAGCCCCTGGCCCAGAAATGCCCAGACTCAAAGAAAACTGGCATTGTGCTCAGTCTGTCCCACATGGACACCTCCCAATCCTGCTCCTGCTGCAAGGCTTTGCTCCTGGTTCCCATGTGAACAGGCCCCAGCTGCTTGGAGACTGACCTGGGCGTGGGTCTCTGCCACTCCCTGAGGTAGGTTTCATGCTCAGCCGTTTCCCAGGGATGCAGGCAGGTCAGTTCCTGTCCCTTTGCTGTGGGAAAACGCCCTTCTCCCCATGGCACTTCTGGACCATTCACACTGAACCACCTTTGCCTCCCTCAGAAGTGGTGCTCCAGAAGCCAGGGGTTGGGCTATGGCACTTCCCACAGCAACCCTTGGCTGCAAATGGCAAACCGGAGCCAATGGGAGCCACGAGGCTCTGCGGCTGCAGTGCCAGTAAATAAACAAACTGCAGCGGGCAGTTAACATGTTTCTCAGAGTGGATCCATGGACCACTTTGAGAAACTCTATTCTAAATTGACTTCGAGCGTGAATAGGGCTGCACCAGTTCCCAAAACCATATGGGCTACATGGTAGAAGCTAATGGTAAGTACAAGTTTTTTTAAAAGTGGTTTTGAATACAGGGCAATGCTATCTAGAAAAGCCGGCTACAAATGTTTTAGCAGATTTGGAGATGGGAGTCTATTTGAACATAGCTTAAAATTATTTTCAAACAGGGTTTTATCTTTGAGGTTAAGCATTTAGATGTGATCCTGCAATGAAGTCCATGTAAGCAGACTCATGCTGTCCACAAATTCCCATTGGTGGCCCATATGGAAATCACTGTAAGACTGAATTTATCCCTGGTGGGCCCGTACTCATCTTAAAATTTAAAATGAACTTAAAATTTAAAGAAAAGTTTGGGGTGATTTATGCCTCTGCTCTCAGCAGGATGGAGTCAGAATTATAACTGGGTTTACAGGCCTTACCATGCTAACAAATAATATGGGCATGTGCTTTCAGTGGAATGAAATGCTCTGTTTTACGTGACTGCCACTATGAAGTTCCAAGTAGTTGTACACTCCTGTTTAAAAAAACAAACAAAAACAAACAAACAAAAAGAGCTGTGGAGCTCTAGGTTACATATTTGTTTCAATTATAAAGTAAAAATAATTTAATAATAATTTTGAGGATTTCTCAGCGTAGCTCTCTAATTTATAAGTTCAAAAGATACACACCAACATTATGTTCGTATTCTAAATATTAGAATTTAAAAGTGTGTGAGAGGAATTGTTGGGTAGGAGAAACTGCAGTTCATGAAGTTGGGACATCTTTGGCATCTCTTGGTGTGGCATGTTGCTAAACTTGTCTTGATCCAACTTTAAAAAAACAAACAAAAAACTTTACAGTAAAAATTAGGGATGTTAAAATGTGTTTATTTTTGCAAACATGTAACCACTGGACAATTTCAGCAGTTACACATTTAAACGCGGAGCGGGAAAGGGAAGGTGTGAGCTGGTGTTTGCGAGGAACCGGCTTTTAAGCCATCTCACTATGAGCACTGGCTCCGAGCTGCCGCTGCCTCTGTGGGAATCAGCAGCGGTGGGAGGGAAGGGGCAAGTGGTTCTATGGGAGCAGGCAGGCATGGCTCCCCACACACTCAGGTTCCTGCATACCTCCTCCCCACCCCGCTGCTGGGGGATGGGAGGAGCTGACAAGTAACCATGAGGATTGACTGATGAGCCCAGGCTCATCAGTTAAGTGTGTACACAAGTACATGCTCACATCCCTAGTAAGAATTATTTTCCAATATAAAAATCCATTTCAGAAA